GCACGTGACAAAAATCACGTATCCAAGATGAGCACCGAGCACCAAAGAACACAGTCAGAGAGAGAGAGAGAGAGAGAGAGAGAGAGAGAGAGAGAGAGAGAGAGAGAGAGAAAAGCACGTATCCAAGATCAGTCGTTGCGTAGGTAGGTCGTGTCGCGTAGCGTAGGTCGCGTCGAGTAGGTAGGTCGCGTAGCGTAGGTAGGTCGCGTCGCGTAGCGTAGGTAGGTCGCGTCGCGTAGCGTAGGTCGCGTCGAGTAGGTAGGTCGTGTAGCGTAGGTCGCGTCGCGTAGCGTGGTCGCGTCGCGTCGTGTAGGGCCGTAGTTTTCCCGCCCGCCCGCCAACGGTCCTTTCGGACCGAACTCCCCAAGGCACCGCGGCGATCTGGGCCGTAAACGGCCAGACGGCCCGGATTCGCCCGCGATCTTAAAAATTTAAGATCGCGGGGCGATCTGGGCCGTCGGGCAGGTACAACCGCGAACGGCCTGGATCGCCGCGCGATCTTAAAGATCTAAGATCGGGGCCCAATCTGGGCTGTCGGGCCGGTAGGTCCAAAGACGGCCCGGATTGCAGAATTCTGACATTAGCGATTTTTATAAGTGTAGGGAAGGTAGTGGATGCCCCCATGAAGTCCCAGACTATAGGATGACTGACGGTTTACTGCTCCAAAAATCGGATCAAGAAGACTGACTTTGTATCCTGAATAACTAAAAAAGATAATCACAAGAGAATGCCATGAATCAGAAGGTCATTTAGGATGGAGGAAGACCTACGCTAATTTGTTGCGATCATATGTCTAGACCGAAATGAAAGCTGACTGCATTCTCTACATCCAAAGTTGTAAAGTTCGTTAGCGAAACAAGATCTCAACATTGGCCCCATTAGGACTATTTTGACCCTTGCCCACACCGTTAGGGCTCTGATATTTAGTATCCATTGACTTCATGGATACGAAAGTCAAGAATCGAAGTGGTAAAAGTCAAGTGATGCTGGTTAGTTGATAGGTTTAGTAAGTCTGCTCTTTTGTTCCGTTGCTGCCCAAAGCTACGACAAAATTAGTAATTCGGGAGTTCTTCGACAATTGGGTAAAGAACAACGACCATCCATTGACTATAGTTACTGATAGAGACGTTAGACTTATAGGAGAACAGTGGCAGCAATTGATGAAAGCCTATGATTCAACATTGACAATGTCGTCGGGTAGACACCCAGAGACGAATGGACGGATCAAACAAATGAACAAGTTGTTGCAGCAGACACTCCGTATGTATATTAGACCAACTCAGATAGACTGGACGAGCACTTACCCAAGGTAGCGCATACAACAACTATGTGCTTTAGCAACTGCGAGTATCCCAAATGAACTGCACTACGGTTGGAAACCTAGGAGGCCAATTGACTCTGCCTGAATCCCGATCAGATTTAGAGATTACCACCCGACGCTAGGGAATTTGCGTTGCAGTATGAGAAAGACTGCAAAAGGTGGCAGAAAACATCCGGAAAGCTCAGCATCAGGTCATAAAGCAAGCAAACAAACATCACAGACCTCCTACATCTGCTGTGGTGTGAAAATCTACCGGAGGAGGGGGGTTCTCAGAAGTTGCTGCCTGCCTATAGAGGACCACAGGAGAACATGGATGTAATAGGAGATTTGGATGGTCCATCGTATGTAGTTGACATTCCCCACATCTACACACCTATCCTGTGTTTTCATGCTTGTAAATTACTAACCTGTGTCAGTAGCGATGAATTCCCCTCTCGCAAATCCACGATACCTCCTGATCAAAAAAAAAAAAAAAAAAAAAAAAAAAAGGATGGAAGGTATGACATTGAAGACGTGTATAAGTCTGGTAGGAGGGGACCGCAACAGCAGTACAAGATCCGGTTCCATTACCAGGAACCAGAAGATGACAGGTGGTATACGAAAATGAACTGAGAGAAACAGCCCCTTGCGCTATCTTACTGTGAGAGAGCTAGGAGGGGAGTAAACATAGCCGATAGGTGAAAAAAAAAGGATGGAAACTTTCTTGGAGGACTTTAGGTAGTGAAAATGTTTTCATGTTGTTGTCAATGTCCAGAACACAACACGATTATAGAGCCAAATGGAATAAGCTGCTCCTAAAATCATTCCAATGGCTGCTAATGTTGCCACGTTGGGCGCAGCTTGAAAAGCGCCTACTAAATAGAAAACTCACCAATAAAGCTACTAAGATGATAGATTCTTGACTCTAGTGCGAAGGCACCTGTATAAGATAAAGCGGCCTTTTATATGGTCGGTCGCTTTATCAAAAGCTGACCACATTGGTCGGCCCTTCAGCTCTCTTCTATCCAATGTGGTACTTGAGAGTCCTGCCCCCGTCCCAGGGTCCCAGAGGTCCCAGTCCCATGTGGTAATGGTCGGGCAGGCCATGTGGGTGAAATGCCAATTCGTAGGGTCCTAGGTCGGTAGGTCCGGTAGGTCAAGAGTTGGAGGTCGTTAGAAGTCTGTAGGCCCAGTGCCAGAAAAAGAAAGTCCAAAGCCCGAAAGTCCAAATTTGCAGCAGCATCTTGCGAAAGTCCGGTGTGTTCCGGTCTGAAGGCAACATAAACATCAACCGAGCTGCTATATTTATAGAGCTACAGCGCAGTGTGGAAATACTTGTCAATTTGTGCTGAGGAAGCTCTGCTGGATGGTTGTGTGGTCAGACAGAGGCAGTTGGGGAAGGTTGACGAAGATGATGGGCGCTCGTGCAACATAGCTAGGGTTACCAAGGAGGAAGAGGTGACCATAGCTGTAGGGTAGAGAGAGAGCAAGCGAGATGCGAGTGCATTCAGACAGCCAGTGTGAGTGATCCAGGGACTGAGCATGAGAGATTGGAGTGCAGAGAGAGAAAACAGAGAGACAGAGAGCGAGAGAAAGACATTTAGAGAGAGAGAGAGAGAGAGAGAGAGAGAGAGAGAGAGAGAGAGAGAGAGAGAGAGAGAGAGAGAGAGAGAGAGAGAGAGAGAGAGGTGAACTGGGTCTCCATGTTGATTGCGGCCATAATGGTTTGTGATCGGAACTCGATACTTGTATAACACCAAATGTTTGAAGTGTTTTCATCTCAGTGTGGACTACTGTTATGAACCTGGTTCTTTGTTGTCAGAAGACCAACACTCGCTCACATAGACTTCCAGGTATGCCCATACATACACAGAAGGAATGGGAGAGGATGGGAGTATCAGACCGCACAGGGAGAGATGAACAGAGCGGAAGACTTGTCCATGCGATATGACAGAAAACACTGATAGTGCAATTCGCTCCACAGAATCCCCACAACCAGTCACAAAGGAAAGCCGAGTAGATCACATCCAGGAAACAATGAAGCAATGATAGTCCGTACACAATATAAACACCGTTTATTAAGCGCAGAGTCTCAAATTGTCAGGATAAACCCAGAACCATGGTGCGCTGCTCAGAAATGAGCAGCGCTTCACTCCCCAATCCCCTGAGTAACCACCAGTACTACCCCTGAGTCCCTGAAACATCAAGCGCCACCCATATACTGCTTCCAGAGGGAAGCGCCACCCTGAGACAGGCCACTGAGGCCAAGCGCCTCTCAGAGGATGAAGAAGAAGACCAGCGCCAGAATGTCTGATGATGATGAAGTGCCAGAGGACGTCCCGGGTGGAAGTCTGTAGCGGCATCACCTCTCCTGACAAGGATGCTCTCTGAGGAAGAAAGCTGCAGCTATGGCTGCAGCGCCAAACTCCCTGAAACCCTACCCCTGAGGAGGGTCCAGCAGGGCACCAACTTCACTTGCCTCCAGCAGACTTCAGATAGCCTGGACCTCTGAACACCCCCGCGTGCTGTCAGAGTACAGCACCGGTCCCAGCTATGGCCGACACTCCACAGGTCCAGCTATGTCCGTCTTCTCCAACGCTGAAGCTGTCACCACTTCCAGTTCATGCGTTCTACAGCAGCGATCTCCACGGTACCCAACTGCCAAAAGCCCTGAACTGATGTCTACAATCTATCTATAGACTTACACTACGCTAGCCTAGACCGGACTGACTGGACCGACCGGTACCGTTTCAGTTTCGGCCTCTCGGCTTCTTTCCTACCCGGCTATAGGCTATAAGACCGTCTATGGGCATAGGCCTTTAGGGCCTGTCCGTCCTAGGGGTAGCCCGGGCCTGCTATTCGCAGTTAGGATAGCTGTAGGAAATTCTAGTTAGTGAGGGCCTATATTTTACCAAATTTGCAGATATGTCCCTCGTGAATTTCCCTACAGGCAGGTCTCTCGGTTAGCCCTCAGCCAAACAAAATGAGGAATCTAACCTACCTATGTTACAGCCTCAGGTCGACGGGTCACCGGCGGCAGAAAACAGCAAGTCATTGCAGTGGACTAATTTGCAATCTCAATGCTTTTGTGAATATGTTGCGAGTGCTGGTGTGATGGAAGTTGCTATTGGGGTTGACCTCGAGCCGGCTCATTGCAGTTCTCTTTTTTTTTTAACTACCACATTTATATAAATGTACATTTACAGTGGCATTAATATATGAAATGTTAAGAGACGGGACATTTTTTCACATTGAAAAAAATAAAAACACGGAACATTTACATGGCTGTTGTTTAATGGCTTGCTTGCTAATTGAGCACATAAATTATGAAACAGCTTCCCAATTAATACAAGTACTATCAAGCTAGGCTACCAGCCGGGCCGCCCGGGTCCTGGGTGGCCAGCCCGTGCAAGGATCAGGTAAGGTCCCAGCAAAAAAAANAAAAAAAAAAAAAAAAAATCTGAAAAAACACTATGTTATGCAGAAAAATAAACTGAACAACTTTTGCCTCAGGGTCACATCGAAATTCTTCACCAAATTTAAAATAAAAAATAAAATTCAAAAATATTTTATTTATTTATTTATTTATTAATTATTTTGGCCCGGCCGGGCAAGTGACCCCGGGCCACTCTGGTAGCCTAGCTATCGAGTAATCAAATATAATTTACACGTGGGAAATCGACAGAGAAAAAACACCTGCCTTAAATCCAAACCCCGAATGTATAGGAACTGATCATCTGGACTCAGCAACGACAAGTTCTCTGTGAACTCATTCCCTAGCTGCCATGTTCCATACAAATTGGCAAGAGAAACAATCCACCACCAAAAAAGGGCTACGATCATGGTCAGATTTATTGCAGGCCCTCTTTTTTGGGGAGGGGAGGGGAGCGGGGAGGGGAGGGGGGGGGGGGGGGGGGGGGGGGGGGTTAACTCGAATGTTATATGAAAAACTGTACCTCCATGCTGTAGCCGGGCACATGATTACCCCGGTCCACCCTGATAACTTGATAAGTCTTAAAAAAGGAAAGCCACTTAGCTTCAGGATGTGTTCGACCTTTCACCTTTGTAACTTAGAAGTTTTCAAAAGCCTAAAGAACGAGTTAGTGCAATGATTCAGGCTTTACTCCACTTCTACACACATGCGGCATCACAAAAGCACCACACGAGACGACAAGATTGATTCACACGATACGAGCGCACACTTGAGAATTACTTGCAAACTCAAAAGTTATGTACCGCAGGTCACTCAAGCTTTGCGGCTATGGCCACCTTCCACCATCATCAAGCAGGCATGTCTTCTCCCTCTCCCTCTCATATCTACCCTCAGGCCTTGCAAGTCTCTCTGAATGTCTCTCTCTCTTTCTCCCTAACAGTGATGGCGCCGAGTGCCACTAACTACTGCTACCCATTCCTGCGCTCATCCATCGCCAGGTTGCACAATAATGGAGCAGCACTTCCGCAACAGCCCGCATGACCGAAAAGAATTGACACTTGCTGCGACTTGGCCTTTTTGTACTTACTGCAGTTTCAAAATGAGACGTGACGTCGGTCGCTTTCCTTGACCGCAGACAGTCTCAACGTAGGAAGAAAGCCATGCTTTGCAGTTCATTATTTTGTTTCAGATTCAGAAGCTCGCCGCAATAGAATAAATACTCGAGAGCGTCGCCCTTTTCTTTTCCGTTTTTTTTGTGGCCATCCTTTTCTTTTTGATTGCAGAAAAGATCCCAGCCTGGTCAAGGTCAGAAAAGGAAGCCATGCTTTGATCAAGTTTGATGTCTATTATTTGAATTTTATTTCTACTTTAACCTAATCTATTATTAATTTATTATTATATTGTATTATTATTATTATTGTTATTAAAATTATTATTACTATGATACTATCATTATTAGTATTTTATTACTATTATTATTATTATCTGTTTACTAATGGTACGGCAACCACATAACTTCAATAGCACTCCTACTTTCGCATTCTTCAGAAAACTTCAGACTCTATGCCCCGATTCAATGAATACACTTCAATAGAGGCAATACTACCTTGTTATCGCAAATGTGGAGAGACTTCAAGGTTCCCATAGACTGCAGGACCGCACCAGCAATCAATGTCGCACTCTGTTCATCCAGACCGTTGTCCAGCAGCTCAACAAACTCCAATGCGCTGATTAGCAAAATGCGGCCAGAAAAAAAAAAAAGAAAAAAAAAGAGGAGGATCAGCAGGGGGGAAGACATTCCAGTGATTCCGCCAATCAGACCAGAGAAAAGATGTCTGCGAAACTTTGCTTTCTCAACTCATAAGCTTGTCATCCTAATTGTGTGTCTTTTGTCCCATCGTGACCACTCGTTTTCCAGCAGCGCAACAAACTCCAAACATGCCTTGACAAGCAAAATGCGGTGAAAAAAACTTAAAAAAAGACTCTCCCTGGATCGTACATTCAGAGCAGAGAAAAACTGTTTGCTAACTCGCGTTTCTTGAACTCCTGTATTACTTCATGTTTGAGACCTGCAGTGGACACATGACTTATGGATCGAGTCTACGTTGTATCCTTTCGACAATAGGTAAGTTAGGCAAACGTAGCAATCCATATTATGCAGTGAACATTCATTCCATGCACAAGTTCATCACACATATTATGCATAGATGACACAGATGATTGGTTGTGTGGTGAGTATACTACGGTCTATCCTTTCGACAATAGGGTTGAATAGGGCTTACGACTGTAGTTTTTCTTTCAAGCCTTTCAAGCCTTTCAAGCATACTTGCAAGCGGACGCCGTCCGGGCGGTTGCGCACGTGCGGCAGACTGCCGGACCGGACCAGCGCGGCGGGGAGGGTGCCGCACGCCGCAAAGCGAAGCGGACCGGACCGGACGCTCGTCCGGTCCGTCTGCTTGCAAGTATGCTTTCAAGCCTTTCAAGCCTTTCAAGCCTTTCAAGCTAAAAAAGAACTGCATCTTATGGAAAGCCTTATAGGTAGTGTAGTAAGTACACCTGCACTGCCCAAATGTAGGGCATTCCTATTATTTCATTTTGGTTGAGAACATGAGATCATGATGATTAAACCACCAAGTGATCAACATGGGATATATGACCCGGGATGCTGGGATGGTCTCGGTAGACCACCCCCCCCAAAAAAACAGAAAAAGAATATAACAAAAAACAGTTGTCCCCCCCTATGGCCCAAAATACTCTCAACTCAGGAATTGTGCATGCAAGATAAGTGAAAGTGCAATCAAGCAGAGAGAAATTTTCACAACCTGATTTTTCTCACCACCGTGAACACAAGCTACGATATAGCAAACACAAGCTCAGATATCCAGTATATAACATATATTAGGTGAAATTCCGATGAAACAGTCTGTCACAGCCCCTCTTTTGTTGTACTCCTCTCCCTCTTTCCCTGCAGTTTACGGGGCTGTTCTGCTTGACGATATATACACGTATAATTGTATATACATTGAATTTATACATTAGACCAGGGCTGGTCCGCGGTTGGACCAGGGGGCCCTCCTTCGCCCGGGACCCTGCCGGTCTGACCGGCCAGTCGACCGGCCCGGCAGACCCCCCGTCGAATCCAGCGCATTAGGCTGGACCGTGCGCGTTTTTTCAAATTTTGGGGGCCCACCAGACCCCATATTTCGATTTGGCATAGTGTGGTCCGACAGACCATGTACCAGTTGCCATTGGCAGGACATACTCGTCCAACCTCAGCCATGAGGGAATTACTATGCAAGAGCAGTGGCTCTCCTGAGGTTATATGCTTCTGCAACATCACTAAGCTCTGGGGAAAGAGTTATGGGTTTCGGTTTCGGCTCTGTCTGAGGTGCAAGCCCAAGACTGGACCTAAGCTATATTTTTCTCTCAATCTATCTAGAATGGACCTGGCTCCACTACATGGATCTGGACAGACTGCCAGGCGAGATACTTTCGGACTGAGGACACTGATGACCCAGCGTATGTAAAAAAAACAAAAAAAAACAGAAAACGCTCTACCTGCACGACCTGAAACCTGCACCCATACTTTTCTGCCGTCGAGCTATACTCTGGAAAAGGTACAAGTTTTGGCAAGGATCCAGTCCAATCACGTCTAGTTCAGGTTACAGGATTCCGATGGCCATTGGCATAGTCCAGAGTGCCCTCTGCTACTGAGTTGTAGTTCCTGGGCCACGGGGGGTCGGATAAGTAACCTTGCTTACTCGACCACTCCCCCTGAAAGCAACACCTCCGTTCAATATCCCAATAATATCCCCACCTTCCCCTGGGGCACCCCCCCCAAAAAAATGGACCTTCAAAATTTTATTACGGATTTCGACAGCTCTTGAAGAGCGCAATCAGAATCCACCCAACAAAAAAAAAAAAAAAAAAAACTTAAAAAGAGAATTGGGCTTTATTTTTTGAAACCGGTTTCCCGGTTCACCCCCCCTGAGCTGGTTCGGCTCCGCTTGGACCGGGCAAGTTGAACCGGCCGGTTGCCGTCCCAGCCCTGCATTAGACATGATATAAAAGGAAAAAGCTGAAAGGAACCAAGTACTCGTCAAGTTCAACTTGCATACACCAACGAACATCCACATGAGAGTTCACACATGAGAAGCCAAACCGAGATACAATCCACACTCGAAGATGCCGTCACCAATATTATTACCAATATACAAGAATGTTTGTCACCAGCGGCTCTGCTGCACACACACACACAGCGGGTCTCAACCAGGTAGTGGCAATGGCTTCCCCCTCCACTCTCTCTCTCTCCACTTTTTCCTCAGGCGCATAGTGCCCAATTTGCCGTAACGCACAAGCAGCAGCAGCGCTACCGCATCTCGCAACTGAACAAGTGACGAGTCGCTGCACTGTAGCAGCTAAATATAGAACTTGTCTTCGCTTCACTTGCTTCGCTTGGCCTGCTTCAGACCGGTACCAGTCGGCCTCGGCCTGTCTGCTGCAAACATTTTGTCGGTCCGGGAGCTTCCGGACTTTCCTGGGACATGCTGCAAAATTCGACTTGGGACTGTCGGACTGGACTGGACGCTTCTGAACTTTTTCTTGTCGGGTACTGCGCAACCCCTACCGACCTACGACGCTTTGGTACCGACAACTACAGACCTACGACACTTTGACCTCTGAACCCTACGGCCTACCCTACGGAATGGCCCTGGGACCTGGGACGTGTTAGGGCCTTGGGACCGGGACTGGGTGTCTGCAGCATGAATCCTTTGGCCACAGCGTGCAGTGCAAAACAAAATTGTGCCGCATGCAAAAACACAAAAAAAAAAAATCATGCCCCGCGTGGCTGCGTTAAGCCGGCCAGCGAGCATATGTGTGTGTGTGTGTGTGTGTGTGTGTGTGTGTGTGTGTGTGTGTGTGTGTG